CTCTGGCCTCAGAATCAGCCCTTAAGGCACACGGATCTGGCTGAAAAGCCCATGAGAGTATTACAGGCATGGAAAGCCAAAACACTCTGACAAAAAAAAAAAAAAAAAAAAAAAAAAAAAAAAAAAAAAAAAAAAAAAAAAACACCTAAATGAAAGATCTCCACGAGTGAGATCCCAGTGAAAAGAACAGGTCATCAAAGAAGGAGGTACCTTTCTCTGAAGGGAGGAGAGAACTTCCACTTTGACTACTACCTTGTCTAAATATGATCAGAGTTGGTGAACTCAAAAGGCTTCCATAGCCTTGGCAGCTCATGACAAGAGCCTAGGGTGATTACTGATGCCATAAACAAGAGTGTCAATTTGTTAAGTCAACAACAGGAGTCACTGTGCACTTACTCCTCATGTAGGATCTCTGTCCTTAATGTGCTGTACATTGTGATTTAATGCTATAACTAGTACTCAAACAGTATTTTTCACTTTGTGTTTCTATGTGGGTGCAAACTGTTGAAATCTGTACTTAATATATGCTAAACTGATCTTCTGTATATAAAGAGATTTGAAAATGAATCTTGATGTGAATGGAAGGGAGGAGGGAGAGGGAAAGGGGAGGGTTGCAGGTGGGAAGGAAGTTATGGGGGGAAGCCATTGTAATCCATAAGCTGTACTTTGGAAATTTATATTCATTAAATAAAAGTTAAAAAAAAAGAAATTGGGAGCTATAACTTAATTCTGTGTACATTTGCATTGTAGAATGTAAAGATAATGAATTTAAAATTCCATATTCTTAATAAAATAAATTTCTGTCTGTTTAATTTCTATACTCACAAATTTATTCTATTAATGAACTGATCAATTAGTTCTAATAAACTATTATTTAATTATTTTAGTATATTTTGATTCATAAGAGATATCTTACTATTCTACCCTGTCATTTTTTTTCTACAAATTTTTACTATAACTGAATATTTTTTCCAAAATAGACTGTCCATATTTAATTAAATCTTGTTTTGAGCATTACAGTCTATTTTTATATTAATTTTGTCTGAATTTCAGCATTGAGTCTTTCTATTCATACTCCTCAATCAATTCAAACCTTATTTTATAAGTTTCATTAGAGAATTATTTGTATAAATATTATACATTCTTTATAATTTTATTATTCTTTGCATTTCTTTCTGTTTCTCCCTCTCTTCCTTTTCACCCTCTCTCCTTTTGACAAGGATTCTTTTTTTATTATGTCAAATGTTAATACTGCTGTCTACTACACACAGTTTCTCAGAAGAGTAATGTGGTATATCCAAAAATATATTTAAAAATTGTCCAACTTATACAAAATGTTAAACATATAGAAACTATTTTGTTATTATTATTGTTATTTGAATTATTGATTTACTATGTTTATCTTTTATCTGATTACCTTTCTGAATGGTCTTCACTGTATTGGTGACATAAATAATATCACTAAGAAAACAGTATCTGTAAATAGAGAGCATTCCGTGTCTTCTGACCCACACATGACATCTCTCCTTCATTGTGTTGGGCAGAACCACCAATTTTATGACATAAGCTAACATTGTTTTTATGAAGTAAGAAATAATAGTAATGAATCTATATATTTGATGTAGATTTTTAAGAGTATAGCATTAATCGCTCTGTGAAATCTATTTTTAGTTTACAAAATATTTTTTAAAGAAGGCATTATATTTCATGAAAAGCTTTTGGAGGCATGTTATTTGTATAGTTTTAAAGTTTTGTAAAGTTAACTTATTTATTCCATTTTAAAGGTGAGAGAGAGAGAGAAACCCTTTAAGTCACTCCCCAAACACCTGGGCCAAGTTCTTGACCATCACCTGGTGCTTCATAGAGTGCACATTAACAAGAAGCTGGATCAGAAGTGGAGGAAGTGACATTCCATCCCTGGAACTCCAATCTGAGATACAGGATGCTAGTGGTATCACAGTACCAACCCCTAGTTTTCTCTTTATCTGAAAAATGTAATTGAAGTATTCTAACAAATTTGTGTTTAAACAATCTCAAATTTTTGAATAAGTCCTATTAGCTCATGATGTTATTTCAATACATTTCTGGATTTTATTTACTGACTTATTTAGAATCTGATGATTTATTTTCATGAACTGTCATTGACCAATAGATTTCTTGTTCACTGTGTGTCTATGTATACCAGTCATGTCTGGTTAGGTTATGAAACACACAGCAAATGAGTTGGGAAACATTTCATTTTTTCAAAGTTCTGGAACAGTTTGCAAAGATATCTCCTTATCCTTGAAACTTTGGTTGAATCCTTCCACCTTACTGAAGCTGAAGCTTTGGGTTGAGAAATTATGCTGCTTATACTGTCAGAAAGTGCAAGAAAATGATAATGGCTTAAAAGAATTGATAATCCTGACTTTAGAGAGGCAAAATTAAATGGATAAAATCACCGCATGTATTAACCTTTGACATGTAATCTGTTGCTTATTTTTAATGCTTTATGCACATCTCCTGAGACTAAATTATAAACCCAATGAGTACTTTTTCTGTCTGTTCACAGATAAGTTTTCAGCACCTAGAACAGGGTCAAGACCACAGTAGGACACTCAATTCATTTTGGATCATTCAATAAGTTAATAAAAGAGTCAAACAATTTTGCTTTGGCCTTGAATGGATCTTTTTTAGGATGATGTGAGGAAATGTTAAATAGTGTAATAGTGTGCCTATCAGAAGCTGATTAAAATTTTAGCATCCTTTGTTTGTGACTCCTTCCCTAACAAAAACTCAGCACTTTGGTTCTTAGAAATATATGCCAGGATTGTATTCTTTCCTTTCAACTTTACAACTTCACTCTAGTCCAGCAACAAGTTATTTTACTAGAACTACGGTTGGAATCCAAATTGAAAAATAAAGAGAGAGAATATGGTGAAATAATGCTTGTACCTTGATAACAACAATTATTAATGTCCTATATTCTGTGAAGTTGTCTTTCTTTTTTTACCCATAGATTTAGTCACCTTCATAAAGATACCAATCACATTTTTGTAAGAATAGCGCTTCTCCAAATAGAAGTAAAAATCAATTCTACAGTATAATAAATCAGCTGGCACACCTCCTGAATTAAGAAAAAACTTACTGTTGGGGGCGAGTGAACACCCTGGCCTGATGCGCTGGCATCCCATATGGGCACTGGTTTGAGGCCCCGGCTGCTCCACTTCCAGTCCAGCTCTCTGCTGTGTCCTGGGAAAGCAGTGGAGGATGGCCCAAGTCCTTGGGTCCCTGCACCCACATGGGAGACCCGGAAGAAGCTTCTGGCTCCTAGCTTCCGATTGGCGCAGCTCTGGCCCTTGCTGTCAATTGGGAAGTAATCTTTAAAAAAAAAAAAAAAACAAAAAAACAAAAAACCTTACCGTTTTTAACATAGCTGCACAAATTAAAGAGCAACAAAGTTTACTTTTTTTTTTAGAATTTATGGCAAAAAGGAAAAATCTCAGTTGTTTCAGCTGTTACATTATTGATCACAGAAATTATCATGTCCTCTCACGCCTTCTTTCCTTTTCAAGGTCAGTTTCTTTGAAATAGACCATTCTCGCTAATTATTCTTTCTTCCATCTCTTTCTGGGTCCTTCACATGTTTCAAGCTTCACCAACTTTTAAAAGTCCTTTTTACTTTACTGCGTTGTTTTCCCCAGATTTTAAAGCCCCAACTTAGCAATGATCATATTTATTGTAATTCCTATTATTCCTACTTTCTCTTAGTAGGTGATAGACTCCAACAGGGTAGAAAATACACTATTTAATCATTGACATCATAAACTCAACATAGGTTTAAATATAGAGGCAATGTTTGCTAAATGAATACGTTTTGTACAAGCCATATTACTACATAATCAGTTCAGCCTGGAATTAAACTCCTTCACCCATGCCTCAAAAACAGAGGTGAAGTTTTGTGCTTGTGGTGGACTTTGTAAGTATCTTTTGGGGAAGGTATGAAGGAAGAAAATAATGGGATTCCTGGAGCAGCAGGCAACTCTGATGAAAAAAAGTCTATGAAAGACTTATAATTTTGCATATTAGATTTCCCACTTTATGTCAGAATGGTCCCTTCAAACTTTATTTCCTTTTTCATTTCTCTTTCTTTGATTCTCAAATATGACAGAGATATGACAGAATCCTATTGACTGCTTCTCAAACATGAAGTTGTTTTCTCCAGAAACTTCACTGTTGTTTACGTGTGCTTCTCCTGGAAAGTACTTATTAAAAGCAACATCGGGGAGTTGAAACCTGACATTGGCTGTGTTGTTCCTGAGAATGTCTTGGGCTTCAGAAAAACGATTTGGATGTTTAGTTTCATTACTTTCACACCTACATTCAAAAATCCTAGAAAGTGAGCTTCCTTCTCTTTTCTTTTTATGTTAGAATTTACTTTCCCTTGCCTTTCACTGAAGAAAACTCAGAAGAAGTAGGCTCATATTAATGAATAAACAAAACTTACCCAATCAAAGTAAATTTACAGGAATCTTCAACCATGTTCTAAGCACTTTCTAATTGAAGGAGAGTTTTTTCCTAAGGTCATAGGACAAGGTTGATTTCAGTAAAGGAACAGAGAGGATTTGGACTAAGCCTTCCTTACAAATGTTAACTATTATCTTGATAATACTTAGTGTTTGCATAGTAACTGTAATTTTTAAAATAAGAATGGGAAAGGAAAAGGGAGCAGGAAGAAAGGCAGGAGTACAGCTGGGAGGGAGGGAGGGAGGGGGGAGGAAGAATCATCATGTTCAGAAATCTGTATATACTAAATGCATGAAGTTGTATTCCTTAAACAAAATAATAAAAAAAGCAATGATAGCAGTAAAAAATAAAGGCATATTCTGAAAACTACTGTAGGAAAGCATTTTGAGAGTTATTATTAGATGATAGAAATGTGGGGTGGAGTTTGTCTGAGAGAAATGACAGCAGCAATAAAAAGGAAGTCAAAAGCATACGTTTGGCTTCAGTCAGCATACTTCCAGAAGCCAGGGCTGACCAAGAAGGAGCAGAGAAGCAAGATGAATGACGTGAAGCTTGCTGTTCTGGGTGGTGAAGGGACAGGGAAATCTGGTGAGTGATGTTTTGTATGACATGGGATTCAATACAGCAAGAGTGAGAAACACAATGACAGGTTTAAGATTAACTTATATATAAAAGGAATACATACGTATACCTACATAAACACACATGTGTATATCGATATAATAATGATGTCTGTCACTGGGATGATATGTAGACTATTTTTAACAGCATTTTTCATTTTTATAGTCAAATGAATGTGCATGTGTTGAATATAGAGACATGGAGCAGCAAAACTGTTTATAATGTTAATTGTCAACTAATCATTGAGGCTTAAAATTGAGAGAAATTCTCTCCATTACTAACCCACCTACTTCTACATCAACCCACCTGCCCTCTCCCCTCTATTGACTAAGCAATGGCCATGCAAGGACTCTCCTGAAATGAGATCTTGGGTAGAGAGAGGTTCACGGAAAGCTGTGAATAATGTTTAAATGCATGGTGGTCAAGAAAGATATGCCACATTATTTCACATTTTAAACATTGATTGAGGCTTGTTCTGTGACTACCCTGCGATCTATCCTGGAGAACATTCCTTGTGTGGTTGAGAAGAATGGGGATTTTGTAGCCTTTGGATGGAACGTTCTGTAGAGGTCCACTAACTGCTGTTTCAGGGAAGAATATCTTGAAACTGGGCAACATTTGGTCTAACAATGGATGCCATATTTTTGTTTTATTTTGTTTTGTTTTGCTTTGCTTTGTTTTGTTCCATCCATGTATATTGGCAGCAAGGACGCCAACAACAGAGTTGTTTGGAACCTAATGAATAATAGCATAATATGTGGACACCCCTAGGAGCTGCTGTTATGTAAACTGATACAAAGGTCCTTTACATATTTCCTGGATTTTTAAGTCCTAATATTATTAAACATATTCAATGCTTGATGATGTCCTGTCACTCTTGTACCTAAATGTGATTTCAAAAAGTTCCTGGAAATTGCATTATCTTTTAATTTTATTTATCTATGAATGTTTGGAAGTACCTCTATGAAGTGGTAACTTGTAGTCAAATTTAATTTGTTAGAGAAAAAGGGAGATGCCATAATTCCTGCTCCTTAAATGTAATAAATCTCTTTCTCTTACAAAAGGTAAGTTGACTTCCATGTTTCCACTCAGGAACTGACTCCATAGGACATAAAGGTGTAGCACTCTATGATCACTTTCTTTCTAGCTTCCTGATCATTGTGGTTTTACTATGGCAACACTGTTATTATTCAGAGGGAACTTAATACAGCTTGAAGGTCTTGAAGAATGTTTGCAAATTTTTGATCAAACTTCATGTACATAACTGAATTTATCTGTATCCTAAAATGCAACAGATGCTAAATCTAGCCTGTTTGTTTTGCAGCACTGACAGTAAGGTTTCTTACCAAGAGATTCATTGGAGAATATGCTTCTAATTTTGGTAAGTTAATTCTCTAACAATTTTTTAACCTTAAAATTTCAACAACATGATCGAACTCCAATTAAATTCAAAAGGACTTAGATAAAATCTGCCATTTCTACATTTATTAGGCAAATCATTTCTTCACAAATTCTGGGTAGAAATACCAAAATAAGTACTTGAATGATCTTTTCTGATAGAATTAACCCAATTTGATGATAAGTAGTATGAATTAAAAAATAAATTATTAACTTTGAAAATATATTAATGTGGGTTCCTCCACTAAAATATTATAGAATATGTAAATGTAAATATGAATATTTCTTGGAAGTTACAACAATAGATTACTGAAATAATTTTGAAATTAAATTAACATCTGTTAAAATATAGGCACAGATTTATGATGAAAGCACAAGGAAACACAAATAAACATATATATTTTTTAAATAAACATATTTTTATCAAACCACATGAAAATAATAGCAAAATTATACCTAATTAAAAATCTTATTACTATTTAGGTTGCTTATGTAAATTTAAAAAAAATTCTAAGAGTCCAGGGCACCTTACTACAGTTTTAGGATCTTTTCACTAACTCTACTACAATTTTTTTGTTATTAGATAAGAATTATGATGACATGAGTAGCAGCACAAAATGTAATATCACAAAATGTCAAAATTTTGTCACAATGTTAACAATACTTATTTATTCAGAAATTAATCAATATAATAGCAATAATGTTTACTTAATCAAAGGCATGGTGATAAGGAAAGAATTTTGTTCTTAACAAGAGTGACAGAATTACAGAAAGAATGAGAATTGAGAAAAAGAATTTCTTTTTCAATATTGCTTATCTAGAGTAAAGGAAATTATGAATGATTGCACATGTGTTTTCCCATGAAAAATACAAACAGTAAAATCTTGCATTCCTGATCCATGAAGCAACATTATTAGAGTATTGCAGAAAATAACTTCAAGGTAGTGCGCTGTAGTTTTTCCTACATAAATCCTGAGTAGTGTTTCAGCCTATATGGCATTGCAAGTATGTTAGGATAAGTGCTTAAAAATTATTTATAGAAGGAAAAAAAGTCAAAAAGTGAAAAATGTTTCTAATTGTCAATTCTGGTGGCACCAACTTCAATAATAAAAGTCAACATAATGTACAAACTAGAATGCACAAATGAGAAAATTTTCTAGAACCAAAAATTTTAAATTAAGCAATATAATATCAAAACATAACAAAAACAACCAAACACCTCACCTTAATTTTTTATATGATATAGTAACAAAAATATATGAAGTGTTTACATATTTCTAGCTGTTACACTTGACAAAAATATAAGACTTAGAACCATTTTGAATGGACAAATTATCAATGTCACTAGCTGTATCTGTGCAAAGAAGCAAAACCACCTTAGCCTGTAGTAGAAGGTTAGAAGGGGAAATAATAAAATGTTAAAATTTTGAGAGTGAGTGACCCTACCCAGAAAGTTTTGAGATTTGAGATCATATTTTAAAATGTCTAGAAGGAAACTGTATGGTTTTAGTCAATAGCAAATCTACAAGAACATCAGGCATTGAGTTCTAGGTGTGTTAACATTGATATGTCTACTAAACTTCTAAATGGAGATGTCCTTTAGCAAGTGGTTTGTATTTGGAGTTCAGGGAAGAGACCTGGATCCTCTAGTATGTTGGTTTATCAAAAATCACTGGAGTATGCATGTTTGGGCTGGATACAGTCAGCAGAGACAGAAGTAGGGAAGAAATGTGTAAAGGGGTGTATGATTGTGGGAAGACCTTGGAGACAAGTCAGTAGACAAAGTTTAAAATGGAGCAACAGGAAATAAAAAAAAAAAAACAGGAGCATGCACTTCTTGGAAGGCAGTGTGAAGGAAACATTTTAGGGAGCTGGAGTGACCAACGGCACTAAGGCATAAGACAAATTAGATCTAATCTGAGAACTAGAGTCTAGAAACAGTTAAATAGTTTTGGCATGTTTGTAAGATACAATCATGCTGGAAACATTCATGATGAAGACGAGAGGGACAGAATTGTTGGAGCCTTGTCTTCCAGTAGGTAAGAAGAAATCCCTAGTTGACTGAATATCCCTTGGATAGGAACACAGATATTTCAACCATAGGACAGAGTGGAAGTCTATGGGCACCAAGGGATGCAAATAATTAGATATAGTGGTGAAGTTTATCTGGAAGAAACATACCTGAGATAATATGAAAAGTACATGTTTTGGGTCACCCAAAATGAAGAAAAGTTACTATACTATCCCACTGTGGTTGAATTTGCTATACTATGATGTAGATATTAGTCTAATTTTTACTCTGATGTTTTTCCATACTGACAATGAATATACACTTTTTTGCAGAATCTATTTATAGTAAACACTTGTGTTTGGAAGGGAAACAGCTTAATCTGGAAATATATGACCCTTGTTCTCAAGTAAGTAGAACAAAATGTCATATTTTATTTTTTCAGTAATATTTTGTAGATTGATGAAGATAAGTGAAATATTACCAGTGTTAATGCTGAATTGTTTTCTCAATTTTAATTACTATAATTTTTAAGAGATTACTTTTCATGTTGTAAACTCCATTTTCTGACTTTGTAAATTTATGTCAAAATTTCACATTACAAATATGTTTAAAATAGCAATATTTATAACATAGCATGTCACAGTGTGTCAGAAATTTCTAAGTTTAATGGCCATCAACTCAGTTTACATTTTCACTAAATTGCATCCATAACTAATAAGTTGTCAACAGACCGTAAGTAAGATGAGTTTTGATAACAAACTGGTTTGTTCATTCAACAAACACAATTAGTAGAACTAGGATTACTTAAGCAAGAGAGGAAATGCATAGCCATTCCATATTGCAAAACATTTCCTTATTAATGTGAAATATCCACTTTGATTTGTTCAGTTAAACTTTGCTAATATTTTCCTTTCTTGTTATTTAAATCTGACCCGGCACAGACAACTGGTGCATGTTCTTTCTCATATGTAGCAGCTAAAAGAAGGAAAAAAAAAAAAAACACCTCAATCTGCACATGCTCTGGGAAGAGTGGTGGGATGGTGGGAGTTAGGATTAACAATTAAGGGAATCTGGGTGTGGTTCATTAATTGTGGCAAATATATTAACAATATGAGGTATTAATAATAGGGAAATCTAGGTGTGATTTATAGATTGTGGCAAATATATCATACCAATATAAGATGCTGAGATGCTGATAACTGAGGAAGCTAATCATGAGGTATATGGTAACTTTTTGCACTGCTTCACAATTTCTGTTTTGTAAATTTAAAACTATTCTGAAATATACTATAGAAAAGCAAACCCAGTACCAAAAATCAACAGATATTTCATTGACTAACGTGAGTAGAAAATATTATCTCTTTTCAATGAACTATGTGGCTATTAATTCAAAAGAAAATTGTTATATTTTAAATAATTTCCCAAAAATTGACATTTTCTTATAGAAAAGTTGTAAAATAATACAGGCACAACTTTATTTTAGTTCCTCTTTAATTTAAAAAATTTGATAACTTTTAATTAGAGAAAAATGAAATAGAGAAACAAAGAAAGCACATTTTGGAAAATACAAGTCTTCAGTTATTGAAGTCTCTCCCACGTGAAATGAGTCCCCATTACTTAACTGTTTAAAGTGTAAAACAGAGGTACTGGAACCAACCATTTTCAATGCACTTGATTTCTTTTCAGCCACAGAAAGCAAGCTTCTCCCTCACGAGTGAGCTTCACTGGGCCGATGGGTTTATTATTGTTTATGACATTAGTGACAGGTCTTCGTTTGCTTTTGCAAAAGCACTGATCTACAGAATTCGGGAGCCACAAACTAGCCATTGTAAAAGGTAAGGTACTTCATTCCTCTCACTTTCATTTTAGTAAATCATCTTATAGCTGTAAGCATCATTAGGAAGAATTTAGTACAGCCTTCCAATTACAAAATTTAACAGCCCTGAACAATTCACCTTCCCATTCTACAGGAGTTACACATGTAGTAAAAGGAGTAAGATGAGAATGCTTTATATCCTGGCTGACATAAACAGTTACTTGCCCTGAGTAAATGGCTATTTTACAAGACAGCTTCTATTGTTAACATGACATTCAGTTGCAAAATAATGGTCCTCTGTACACAAGATAGTTCACTTTTCAACCTTTCCTTTTCATTCTCACAAAAGTGTTAAGGATACTAAATAAATCCAGATTTATTACATTTGGCATCCTGTGAAATCCAATTCCTAGTCATATTGGGTTGTTCAATCTATCAAAGCAAAGTAGACTGAATAATCAAACTGTTTACAAATTCTAAGTATGAGAATACATTTTCCTCCATCTGACCTCCTAAAACAAAGAGCTTATCAACAATTCTCCATCGTAAATATCTTAACACAGGAACTATGAATAAAAGTGCCTTATATTATTGTTGCGTTAGTAGTTGAAAACGTAAACATCTGAGTGTTCCATTTCACTCTCCATATTTTAATTGCTTTAGCTTTTTTGATTTAAGATATTTATTTGTGTTCAACATACTGGTGAAGATAATAGTGTTTTTAACCAGTTTGCCATTTGAATCCAAATAACAGTTCAATCTGGTATATAAAATGCAGAGTATTATCATGGAAGATTGAGATATATGCCTTTTACATCTATTTTAAGTGCCAAGAAACCATGAGATAGTATTTTTTTAAGATTTATTTATTTACTTGAAAGGCAAGGTTACAGAGAGGCAGAAGCAGAGAGAGAGGTCTTCCATCTGCTAGTTCACTCCCCAGATGGCCTCAATGGTTGGAGCTGTGCTGATCTGAAGCCAGGAGCCAGGAGTTTCTTCTGGGTCTCCCACGTGGGTACAGGGGCCCCAGGACTTGGGTCATCTTCCACTGCTTTCCCAGGCCATAGCAGAGAGCTGGATCAGAAGTGGAGCAGCTGGGACTTGATGCTGGCGCTGCAGGTGGTGGCTTCACCCACTGTGCCACAGCACTGGCCCCAGACGGTAATTTACATATTACATTTCCTTGGAGGTGGCTAATGTACAGTATTGTTTACATTAGATTTACCTTAGTTAAATCATTTTAATCTCTAGAACTCATTTCTCTGATTATATAACTGATAGCAGGATGACAGGGGAGAATGATGTCATTTTATTGAGGTACCGCATGTCTGATTTCCTGGATTATGACTGATTTTTAAAAGTTGAATTATTTCAAATGTTGAATTTTGTATATTTGAACATCAAGACAGTAAACAGCACAAAATAAAATTCTTATGATTTTTTTTCTAAATCAAATAATCAGTCAAGAACAATTAAAAACCCATTGAAAATGCAAAAACCTACATATTTTTGACATTTTTAAAATAAGCTTCTGAATGTTTTGACTAAATCATTTCTAAAGTATTTTCAATTCTCATATGAAAAAATAGAGTAAAATATTGCACTCTTTTCTAAAATTATATCTGATATATGTAGTTTACCCTTCAAATATTTTCATGTACCATTCCTCACTCATCCTTTATAATAATTTCATAAACTAGACTGAAAAGGGTACAGTTAATGTCCTCCAAATACCACCACATACTGCTTTTTCTCCCACTGCTTGTACTCTTAAGTGAAAAAAAAAAAAAAAGCTTTTAATGGAATCTGAGGACAATACGAGTTGAAGATTGCATTTACCCACGTCTTCTGATTATAGATATCTTGGTAGAGTTTCATCTTGTTTAAAAGCTAATGGTTTAACTATATTTCTCAAAGCAAACACTATTGCCATAGTTTCAATATAACTAGGAAGAATATTGATATTTGCAAAAGCTATTTTATTTTTGAAAGAAACATTTTTAAAGCAGGAATGTCGTGCAAGGTCATGAGATGGTAGTTTTCTCCACAGAATGCTATAATAAAGAGTAACAAAGAAAACAGCAATGAATTTTGAATAATATTTTCCTAGGAAATTATATATAAATTGACTTTTTCATGACATTATTGTGTTAGTTGATAGATTTTTATTAGTCCTTACCTTAAACTTAATAATAAACATGAAAATAATATTTAACAAACATCTTTTATTGTCTGAGTTTTTGCTATGTAATTTTGTATACATCAGTTCATTTAATGTTTGTTAGAATTCTCTGGAAGACTTTTTACCACTTTTTACATACAAAAAAAATAAATTACAAAGATAAAAATGGAAAGACAAGTGGGAAAAATAATCATTCTTGAATAGTAAAAGGAACAAGAACTCCAGAATAAGTCTGTGTTACTTCAAATCCTATACTTTAAGGGCTTGTTTCTTTTGTACCACTTACCATATCCTATATCAATTATTTTTAAAGCTTTATTTATTTATTTGAAAGGTAGCATTACAGGGAGAGAGGAAGAGACAGAGAGAGAAAGAGACAGAGATCTTCCAACTGCTGGTCCTTTCCCTGAATGGCTGCAACAATGGAAGCTGGGCTTAGCTGGCGTCGCAGCTCACTAGGCTAATCCTCCACCTTGTGGCGCTGGCACACCGGGTTCTAGTCCCGGTCGGGGCGCCAGATTCTGTCCCGGTTGCCCCTCTTCCAGGCCAGCTCTCTGCTGTGGCCAGGGAGTGCAGTGGAAGTGCTTGGGCCCTGCACCCCATGGGAGACCAGGAGAAACACCTGGCTCCTCCCATCGGATCAGCGGGGTGAGCCAGCCGCAGCGCGCCGGCTGCGGCAGCCATTGGAGGGTGAACCAAAGGCAAAAGGAAGACCTTTCTCTCTGTCTCTCTCTCTCACTGTCCAACTGTCCACTCTGCCTGTAAAAAAAAAAAAAAAAAAAAAAAAAAAAAAAAAAAAAAAAAAGAAAGAAGCTGGGCCAGACCTAAGCCAGGAGCCAGGAGCTTTATCCCGGTCTCCCACATGTGTGCAGGGGCCCAAGGACTTGGGCCATCTTCAGTTGCTTTCCCAGGTGCATTAGTAGTGGGCTATTTGGAAGCGGAGCTGCTGGGACCCAAACCAGTGCTCATATGGGATGATGTTGTAGCAAGCGATGATTTAACCTATAGCACCACAACACTGGCCCCCTAAAATATTTTTAAGTGATATATATACCACTATACATATACCTGAGCATGAATAACACATATAGACAATAATTTTTTTTTCTTTTTTGATTCATAATCCTTTGGATATAAACCTACCTGTAAAAAAAAATTGCTAAGACAAACTTGCCCAAAATTGTGTATCTGTGTTTCAGAGCTGTGGAAGCATCAGTGCTCTTGGTTGGCAACAAGCAAGATCTAGGTCACGTGCGGGAAGTTGGCTGGGAGGAAGGACAAAAGCTGGCACTGGATAACCGATGCCAATTCTGTGAACTGTCTGCTGCAGAGCAGTCTCTGGAGGTAGAGATGATGTTTCTGCAAATTATCAAGGACATCCTGACAAGCTTCAAACTCAAAGAAAAGAGAAGACCCAGTGGATCTAAATCAATGGCTAAATTGATCAATAATGTATTCGGAAAGAGAAGGAAATCTGTTTAGTAGACATGTAATCCTAGGGGATTTGTTAGATCAGAGTTTCAAACGTTCACACAATAATTAAAATTCTCCTTTGTATGCATTTTTTCAAAAGAAATTCTTTTTTTAGAGATATGGTATGATTGAACATTTGGAATACAGAGCTTAGCTTTTTGGTTCATTTTGTTTTTATTAATCTTTTTGGTTGTTTGTATCCACTTCACCCTTCTACACACATAACCTTTATCTAATTGCACAAAATAACACTCATTGTAGTCTTTTGATGGATTGCTATCCGATTTACCAGCCCAAACAAATTCTGCTAATGTAATTTTATTTAACTACCATTCTACAGTCTGAGGTTTACTTTTATTTTACATAGTTCTTTTGAATTAAGTGTCTAGTTATATTCATAGGATAACGTATTATAGGGCATAATGTAGTACAGGGCTTAAATTATCAATGTGAACATTTTCGATCTATTTAATAAAATTCATGAATGGAATTTTACATTTCTTTATAATAATTCAATGAGTTATGTGATATTACACATACTTTATAACTTGAGACTCACAAAGTTAAAGTCCTTTCACAGAAGTATACATTTTATCGTAGGTCTGATGATGAAAAAGTGTCTCCTTGCTGTATGCAGTGACAAGGACAATTATCACATCCTTTTCAGATTAACAGATTAGTCTACTGTAGTTCATTTAGATTCCCATACATCAGAAGAAAGGTAAAAAATTAAACCCTGCTGGAAAATCCCTACATAACTTTGTGTTGTTTTAAGATTTATTTTTATTTATTTGAAAGGCAGAGTTATAGAGAGAACAAGAGCAACAGAGAAAAGAGAATATCTTCCATCAATTGGTTTACTCCCCAAATGGCTGAAACAACCAGGGCTGTGCCATGCCAAAACCAGGAGCCTAGAGCTTTTTCCAGGTCTCCCACATGGGTGTGGGGGCCTAAGCACACTTACATCTTCCACTGCTTTTCTAGGCACATTAAGCAGAGAGCTGGATTGGAAGTGAAACAGCTGGGACTCCTCTGGCACCCATATAGGATGCTTGTGTCACAGGTGGTAGCTTTACCCACCAAACCACAATGCTGCCCCCTCACCTCACTTTGAAGGCTTTTTGCTCTGAAAGAAATATTTTAAAATTGAATACAGATATGTGGGACTTTTTGTATTACTTAAATTACCATTTCCTATGAAAGATAACTGTCTGCCTTTTACCTCTTAGACCACAGTGCCCCTGCTGGTGATCTTGCTGCATTTTGCCAAGTACTGCCTTTTTTTTTTCTTTTCTTTTCTTTTTTTTTTTTTTAACTTTTATTTAATGAATATAAATTTCCAAAGTACAGAATATTGATTACAATGGCTTCCCCCCATAACGTCCCTCCCACCCGCAACCCTCTCCTTATCCACTCCCTCTCCCCTTCCATACACATCAAGATTCATTTTCGATTCTCTTTATATACAGAAGATCAGTTTAGCATACATTAAGTAAAGATTTCAACAGTTTGCTCCCACACAGAAACATAAAGTGAAAAATACTGTTTGAGTACTAGTTATAGCATTAAATCTCAATGTACAGCACACTAAGGACAAAGATCCTACATGAGGAGTAAGTGCACAGTGACTCCTATTGTTGACTTAACAAATTGACACTCTTGTTTATGGCCTCAGTAATCACCCTAGGCTCTTGTCATGAGCTGCCAAGGCTATGGAAGCCCCCTGAGTTCACTGACTCTGATCATATTTAGACAAGGCCATGGTCAAAGTGGAAGTTCTCTCCTCCCTTCAGAGAAAGGTACCTCCTTCTTTGATGACCCATTCTTTCCACTGGGATCTCACTCACGGAGATCTTTCATTTAGGTTCCCCCCCCCCCCCCAGAGTGTCTTGGCTTTCCATGCCTGAAATACTCTCATGGGCATTTCAGCCGGATCTGCATGCCTTAAGGGCTGATTATGAGGCCAGAGTGCTGTTAGGACATATGCCATTCTATGGGTCTGCTGTGTATCTCACTTCCCATGTTGGATCATTCTCTCCCTTTTTGATTCTATCAGCTAGTATTTGCAGACACTATTCTTGTTTATGTGATCCCTTTGGTTCTTAGTCCTATCATTATGATCAATTGTGAACAGAAATTGATCACTGGGACTAGTGAGATGGCATTGATACATGCCACCCTGATGGGATTGAATTCGAATTCCCTGGTATGTTTCTAACTCCACCGTTTGAGGCAAGTCAGCTTGAGCATGTCCCGAATTGCACATCTCTTCCCTCTCTTATTCCCACTCTTATATTTAACAGCGATCACTTTTCAGTTAAGTTTCAGCACTTAAGAAGAATTGTGTATTGATTACAGTATTCAACCAAAAGTATTAAGTAGAACAAACAAAAAAAATACTAAGAGGGATAACATATTATGTTGAGTGAAATAAGCCAATCCCAAAGGGACAAATACCACTTGTTCTCCTTGATAGGTGACAACTAACTGAGCAAGTACTGCCTTTAAAGTTGAGATCCTAGGTTCTAATTTCAGCTGTATTATTGATAATTAAAATAGGTCTTAAACAATTTAAGCAGGAGTTTCAAGTGTTGCTACACATACTTGGGTAATATATATTGGAGAACTCCCAGGACCAATATGGAAAAATAGTGAGCCCCTAGAGAGTGTTTGGATCAGAGTGAAGGAGGAGTGACAATACTGGACTGTCGCATCTGAGAGCATTCACTGACATGGGATCACTCGTTCTGATTCACAACTCAACTGTTTAAGGTTGAAGCCCAGGGCTGGTCTACATAGCTTTCTGTTCATTAGAAGCGTGACCTTATTGATACACTAAAGTAAACGTAGTAGAAAAATAGAATCATGCTGCAGAACACACACCAGTTTCTGAATGTTCATGAGATGGGGAGTGGTGCTTGGAGCAAATACAGATTAGAATCAACAATCTAGCATTTGACTCTGTTCCTGGGGGAATTCAGGGGGCACTTCCTTTGCTGGGGAAGTAGGGAATGTAGTGCAGAGGAGGCACAGACAGCTCTGAGAAGCTTAGCAGTAACTGTGCTCCATGGACCTGGAGTTGACGGTAGATGAACTCTGTTCTACATGCACGGATTGAGCTGTGCTCCTCAGTATCAGTGTAGAGGAGAGAATCCTAGAACATCGAATCTGCTGCCTCTACAAGGGTGCTTCAAAAATTTGAAAGGAATAGAAATTTGGTACAAGACAGTTTTTAAATTTATGCATAGTTTTCAGATGATATGTATTTTCTCAGACCTTTTGGAAGATTCCTTGTATTTCTTCATGTACACATCTCTCTAAAGAGATAGTGCCATGTCCAGGGTTGAGGCTCCACTTTTGATACTGACAAGTTGGATATTTAGTAGTGATGTGCCCAGTGAGCCATACTGTGGGAAAGTTCAGATTGTGGATCAGTGCATTACTTCCACCAGGGTCATTGTCATTGTGAATCCATTGCCTAAGCACAGGGACCAGGAAAAGAGGCAGCTTGAATTCTACTCAACAGGTACGCTTTTAAGTCTGTGTAAAGTGATTTCTCTTTGGTGGCTATGCTTTGGTGGGTACTAACATGATATAAAAAGACAAGGACAGTTTATGACCTCTCTGAAAGATCCATATATATATTTTTTTCCTTCAGACCTCCATTCTTTGATCTTTAAGTCTTACCTCTTCCAGATCTCATAACAACCAACAAATGTTTAATGACTGCCCAGACATAAGTATACTACATGGCACCTCTCCTTTTATACAGGAAATACAACAAACTATGCTTCTTGAAGTTTTGCCAGCAGGAATAATTCCATTTGTTAATAAACGTCATGGTTACTTCTGTCTAGGACTGTAACGAGGCTTCATTCTCTTTTGCTGGACTAAAATGTGAGTTGTAACTGAAGAAATATTTCTGGACTGGCATTGTGGTGTAGCAGGTTAAGCCACTGACTGAAACATGGTACCAGGTGCTCCACTTCTGGCTCAGCTCCCTGTAAATGCCCTGAGAAAAGCAGCAAAACATGACTCAAATACTTGGGCTCCTGCACCCATGTGGGAGACCTGGATGAAGTTTATGGCCCCTGGCTTCAGTCTGACCCAGCCCTGGCCATTGTGGTTATTTAAGGAGTGAGCCAGTGGATGGAAAATTCTCTCTCTCTCTCTACCTCTGTATTTCAAATAAGTAAATAAATTATTTAAAAAAAAGTGAAGAATGATTTTGATAAAATAGTTGAACTGGTTTTAGAGTGTTAGGTGAATGAAAAATAAACTTCCATTGTGTAAAATTTTATTAGTCTACTATTTGTAGGAATTTCTTTGATCATTTATATTCTCATTATTGATTATAGATTACATATATATATAGCTAGATAAATATGGATATGGATTGTATATATGTATCAGTATATTTATACATCAATATAAGCAGTTATATTTCAATAAGTGTTTTTTTGGTTTGTTATTTTACTAGATGATCTCAATCTTGATTCTTTGGAATCATATTCCCAGTTAAAGGAAAATGTGTTGAGAATGGTTTTGTATTAAGTATAACACATTTATCCATGTTACATTTAATAATTTTAACACAAAAATGATATTCAAATTCTTTAATATCTTAATCTATGCATGTGTATATGTAATAAATCAGAGTGGAAAATTTCTGTTATGGGATCTATTTTTATTTTTATATATGTAAATTTAATTATCTTACTATTTTTTAGCAAGATGGCCTGGGAAGGTATATCTTAGTTACAAGGAGTTAATGTATCATGTTCCAATGAACAAGAATTAATATATTTCAATTTTTTCCTATGAAACAGCTTTAGAAATGAACAGTTGATTACTTTTCATAGAGCTATTTAGAAGTATTGAGTTGTGGCAGGTGCTGGGAAGAGCAGGTTAGGCAGACTCTGGGATGTCCACATCACATACCGGAGTGCCTGGTTCGAGTTCTGTGTTCTCTGGTTCTACTCCAGCTTCCTGCTAATGTGTATCTTGCAGGCAATGGCTCAAATACTTGGGTGCCTGTCAGGAATTGAAGACCTGAATAGATTTCTTGGCTCCTGGCTTTGGCCTGACTAGCCCTGAATGTTGTGCATTATTGCATACATTTTGGGACTAAACCAGCCAATGGAAGACTTTTGCCTGCTTTCTCTCTCTCCTCTTTCCCTTGTTCTTCATTTCATGCAAGTAACAAAAAACAAAAGTATCGAGTTAATTCTCCCTTTAATGATGTGGCAGTTTAAAAACATGTACACACAGTTTTTGATACTTCTCTCATTAGAGTTGATTCTGATTTCATTTCCTTGGATTATGAATCAGTCTGATTCTGTCTTATCAGAAGGAATGGGAAAGAAACAGTATGTTTGCCTTGTGAAGCCAGGTTAGTAAAGGAGATCGAGTTTCCAGCTGTTTCTACGTCCCCTAGAAATCTGCTTTGGGATACCGAAGCCAACATGTATGAAAGTGACCAGATTGAAGGCACCAGGACACAAATCTCACATAAAGTTAGTGTCCACAGAAGCCCATCTTCAGGTGATTCGAGCCTCTATCCTTTGGACTACCTCTGCCCACAGCAGGTAAAACAGAGATGAGTTACTCTCACCAAGTCCTGTCCTGATTATTGATTTGTGAACATAATAAATATGCCCTTTATCTTGGAAGTGTTGCATAGCAATAGATACCATAAAATATAATTCATTGAAACGTCCAGCAACTCATGCTGTACAAAATGCTTGGCTTTCCTACTAGGGAGGAAAAGGATGAAAAAAATAATCCTTCGAGCAGATTCAAATTGCCTAGAACATGAAGTTACTCCATACATTTCCTTGTGAATGTAATTTATTTGGAAAGCAACTTTAAAAACTTTAAAAATAATAAATTGCATTTTTCCAAAATGAGAAGAAACACATCTACCTACAGAGAAACAAATACATCAACATTAGGCCATAGAATGTTGTAGGCTGAGGATAGTAAGTGTGTCTATAAATCTCAGAGATAGTTAAGCTGTATCTCTGGGCTGGGAATTGCTGGCATTGCCTGTGCTGCTTCTAGGAAAAAAGATGCTGTCATTTGCTTTGGATGAGCTTCAGTGAGATAACACATAATGAGGGGCAAGCGCTGAGGAAGGAATGCCAAAGGGGAGGGGTCTTTAAAATGCTTTTGATTTAATACAAGGCATGCACTATTAATAAAGAGGTTGAATGATACCTGTATGTTTTATAGGTTTATAAATTGGCTGTAGTAAAATATTTTACATCTTAGATCACTAGGTATTGTTTCAGCTTATTATGGGAGATATCTATCTAGAGTTGACTGAATTGTATTAATCTGAACCTAGTTTAATGATGCCTTAACATTTTTATGGGGAAATTTAATGTTTGCAATATCCATGTTCCTTATTTGAAAGCGTGACTTATAGGTTTCTCATCTTCCTTAAATTATAAAATCCTTCAGCTAATAAAGGAAAATGATTATAGTTTGCAAAAAAGGCAAAGTCATTTAACAATCCATATAACTGTCTATTGTAGGGCTTTGCATAATAATTGTAATTTAGCTATTAGGGATTCTAAAGGCAGTTATCAGTCATACTCCACAATTCTTGGGAATCAGGCAAAGCCCAAATTATTTAAAGTATTTTAAATTCTCAAAGAAAAAAGGCATACCATAAATTTGAAATATGCTCTATAGTGATAAGATATTATTTCATAGGAAAAGGAAACCTACATAATAATTTCAAATGTGTAAGCCACCAAGCAGATTATTTTTCTTCTCTTTATACATAGACAGAGCATGTTTATTTTTTTAAATGGCAAGGCAAGTTACTCTAAGGAGGAAATCAGTACACAATAAACTGACAGTGGTAAAATGAAATTTGACCAAAAATTTAGTAATGCTGGAACAACTAAGGCATAGTGAATTAATACAAAAAAAAAACCGGAAAAAAAGGACAATAAGAGATGGAATGATTTGACATTGCATTAAAGTATAGGTGTAATTTGCTGGTATAGCTTTCAGACCATTTTATGGGACTTGGGGTATTTACCAACTACACTCTCAAAAACTTTTAAAGACACTTATGTAAAAATAGGCTGAGTTACTTTTTTAGCTATGGATTTATCTTCAGGTATTAGGTTTGCAAAATTTGGAGATATTTTACCCAAAAACATATTTGAAGATTAAAATTCTTATGCTGAGTATAGAATGTTTAATTCATTCAAACAGCAATTATATAAAAAGACAAAAAACAATTGGTTGACTTTGATCAGAAGACTTAGAGACCTTAAATAAAAGAAGCCTATATTTAATTCACACAGGTTGTCTTCATGACCTCCACATTATAAATGTGCCCTTTGAACCTTATATGTTTATAGT